TGATAGTTAATAGACTAAAAATTAAATTAAGCCGTTTTTTACCTGTTGATTAGCTTATACCTTCTCTAACTGCAAATACCTATGGTGATTGAAAACAGGAAATCACAGGAGCGATTTTTAGAACCTGTTTACTAAACTTCTCATCTTATCGAAATATATTCCCCATTAGGGCACTTGGAGAATATCTTCGCCATGTTCTATGTGCATAAATCTCTCAATCTCAAGAAAGGGGATGGGCCACAGAGAACATCAGTTTGACAAGGCCGCCTCTTTCACATCCTGCTGTGCGATATGCAAAAAGAAATGCAGTGTCATATGGTATGAGACTATGAGTTGGCTTCTTGGTTGTGTAAGAGTTTGATACTCTGTTCTAGCAATAATTTCTGTCATTTGATTCTGATTATGGGCTTTCAAACACAAAAATGATAAAAAAATTCAGTGTTACTATTATATAATCCTGAAGAAATGAAATACAGGAGAAAATATACGATGCAAACTAATTAACATCAATACTCACATAAAAGCAAACAAAGAGAACTGATGAAAGGCTCCAGCACGCATCTTTCTTGTGGAAATAAGAAAGATCAAATTGGCATATCAATCTAACATGAAACTATGAAAATTATAGGGCGATGCGATCACACTACTCAAAATGCAAATCCATGCTCATTTCAAGGGCTGGTTTTAGTTTGCAGGGGGTGGGGAAAGGACAGGGATGAAGGGGATTGAAGGAACGCTAGGGAGTGGAGGCAGAGTAACTTTTGGAGCGACCGGCAGTGTAGGCTGAGGCATTGCAGGAACGCTAGGCAATGGTGGCAGAGAAACTGTTGGAGTAGCAGGTAGGGTTGGTTGAGGCATTGTGGGAACGCTAGACAATGAAGGTAGAGCGACCTTTGGTGCGGTGGGCAGAGTAGGTTGAGGCATTTTAGGAACGCTAGGCAATGGAGGCAAAGTGACTTTCGGGGCAGTAGGGAGGGTGGGTTGAGGCATTGTGGGAATGCTGGGAAGGGGAGGAAGGGCCCCAGAGTTTGGCAGGGATGGTAATGAAGGCTGTGGAAGAGATGGAACGGGCAGTGGAGGTAAAGAGGGCAGTTGCTGAAGACGACGAGCTGCTAGGCTGACATTGATGCTTGAGTATGACAAAGCCATGAAGATAGCCAAGACAAGACAATTGAAAGAGGCCATTCTATTGATTTCTTCAGGTATTTCAAATCAAGAACTTCTTTTATGATTTTCTTGAAGAAATCAAGTAATCTTGGGGTTTTTATAGCGTGGAGTCAGGGAACCATGCCAACAAGGCTGGTACGTTGTTGAGAAAAGGGAGAGATAAGGCACTTAATTGTAGTGTTAGTTCATCTCCTCATCCTGCTTTCTTTGAAAATTTATCAAATACCATCAAAATATAGAAGTTTCTGTTGATTGGTGGGTGATCTACCATTTCCATCGTCATGGGGACATAATGTCCGTATGGAAGCAGAAAAAGGTCCAAAAGTTTGACACTTGAGAAACCAAAAATTAAAAAATTCAAAGTCATATATCTATGGTTGTATGCATTTCTAATTTCTCTTCTTTCTTCAAATAGAGAAGATTTATATTTTATATTTTAAAATTTTGGGTTATATAATGAAAAATTCTTACCATTGGATGGTTATTTAAATTGTTATTAATAATAATGAAAATTTTAATTTGTCAAGATTTAATTGGTGAGAGATATAATTTTCATCTTTATTAGGTATCATGCCGCATCCTGTGTAGTTTATTTGTATTTTTTTAAAAAATTTACTAATTATAAATTTTTACCATAATAATTAATTATAAATATATTTAAAGTATTTTTTTGATAATTAGTAATTTTAAATGTATTAATTCATAAAGAAAAGTGTGAATAGTAGATTAAAAAAAGATTTAAACATACAAATCTTATCAATTTAATTTTAAAAAATAAAAATGAAATTTCATAATTTC